GTCAGCTCATTTTTCTTCTAAACTTTGAAGAAGTCAATAGCATATTTCTTTCTTTACATATTGCAAAATTAGCAGTGCATCTGGAATTTGGCTGGTGCAACTGGGTTTTTATCTCAAGTTGCACCTGGTGCGAGTAGGTTAACATCTCTTAAATCGAGCCCTGTAATCTGCATGATCATTCTGTGCAGAGAACTAACAACATACAACACATTCATCATGTTCATAACACAAATGCAATTTATATTGTTATTTCTTATTTTCAAATTATCTGAGATAAGAATGTTATAATTAACTGTCATTTAAAGTATGATTAAATAATAGTAGCATCCTACAGGCAATGTCTATCTAACCTTTGTCGAACATCTTCCGTCAGTGCCTTCCACTGCTTTGACTTCTGGATTTTTCGTCTCAACAGAACAGCTGCATATTGTCGAATCTGACAGGAAATACACAAATGACATAACCGTGATAATTATGCTCTGAGTAAAGAGAACATTTTATCTGGAATTCAGCCATGATGAGCAGAATCTAGGTCATTCAACTGGCTTGGAATCTGACAGGCAAACACACAAGGGACATACTGATGCTAATAGTAGAAATAGAATTTGACTAGGACATGCTAGTTTTTTTTACAATATCGATACCTGATAATAGTCACTAACAAGCATCTGGAGTCACTAGTCTGGCTTGAACTGTGTTTTGTTTTGTTTGTTTATGGCGGTGGTCTGTAAATAATCGAGTATGGAACAGACAATCCAATGATCAACATCACGAGCATCAATCTACGCATTTGGGATATGATGACCTATGTCAACCAAGTCAGCAAGCCTGACCACTCAATCCTGTTAGTCGCCTCTAACGACAAGCATGTGTTACTGAAGATTAATTCTAAACCGAGCTTCACTGGTACTATATATCACTATGACATATGATGCCAGGTCACACATGAAAACAATCTAAACCTTAATGAAGTCAAATCTGGGTAGAAGCATGGGTACAAGCATATTTTACCTCTTTTGTATGGCGGCACGGGGATCACCTACAAGGATATGTTTAACACTGACTGATTCTTATGCATGGGTGCAGGGAACCTATAGCCTGTAATGATGAAACTGATAGATCTTCGCGTTTGTCTGTAAGCCTGTAATGATGAAAGGTCACGAGCCTGTAACTCTGAAAGGTGAGCCTACCTGAGGTGTCTGCGATGTTGCCAACACCTGGCACAGAGATCCGAGAGCAGATGGATCTTTAAATGCCTCCCTGAGACTCTGTGTTGCCTGGAATCAGAAAACAACAGCTGTCAGTTCAGATAATCATCAAAACTCAAACTCACACAAAGTATCATGTTGATGGTAACGCTGCAAGCAAGGTAGCCATAAAGAAGTAAGGGTGAGAATTTTTCCAAAGGCAGTGGTTCTTATCGTCTCATTTTAGTCTTTATGATATGTGGTGCAAATTATGGTTTGGGAATGAATGACATGAAAGTATGAATGTATACAAATGAACTCCACTGATCCAGGGTAATCAGTAATTGTTAATTCCACATTACTTGTTCAACACACCAACAGTATAAGGCCACAATGCCACTTATGTTTAGCGGGGTTTGTTTTTTTATCAATTCAGGGTGCATGATCTGTTTGATTGGCATTTTAGAAGTTGGTAAATAATAAGAAAGTAAGGTAATTTATGGATAACAACTTCTTTCTTATATATGAGGCGACGTTTCAGTATATATCTATACTGAAACATCGCAGTATATAATAAAGAAGTTGTTATCCATAAATGATCTTACTTTCTTAATTCAGGGTGCACTTAACATAAACTACTTTTTCAATCCATCAGGTTTAAAATCCTGATTTGATAAGAGTATTTTTTTCTTATTCAAAATGACATATCATCACATTTGTTTATTAATCAAATTTTACTGGTATTATTATGATTATATCCACATTTGTAACTCTGATTCAATACATTTTGATACATGCAACATTTGTTAACGTAGAAACCTTGCACTGTCACAAATTCGGAACAATGTCATTGGACAAATATGACCAAAGGATTCATGATCTTTAAGAGACTTCAGGTAAATGAACAGCTGATAAACTTAGGCAATAAAATGTGAAATCACAAGGTGAAAGGTTTTCGTAAGCATTATCCCATTAAATATGAGAATTCAAGAAGATTCCCCTAGTTTTCAACGCAGCACTACATTGTTGGTAAAAAATGATGCTTATTGGCATCCTGTGATTATGATGGCGAATTAACATAGCGCCTACTGGACGATTAAAAGTTACGAGATATTTTCCCTTTTAATTGGATTATTTTCATCACTGGTCTCCCTCCCTCATGTTTGTTCTATATATCCTATCACATCAATTACCATGTTGTTTTAGTGCATCACTAGCCTCCTTGTGTTTGTACTCTATATCCTATCACTCTATTACCATGCTGTCTTAGTGAATCACTAGCCTCATGTTTTTGTCACATGTCCGTGCATTTTAACATGTTTTCTTTGTAGTGCCTCAATGCATGCATATATATCCCCCCCCTGATACTCCCTACCATTATTCACCTGATGATGGAGCCATCATACACTCCGAAACATCAAGTTTATTCACAATAAAAAGTTGGCATTCATAAATATTGCTTTTCTTAAAGATGGAATAGATGTGTTTGACATATTTAATGTCATATCAAAGAATATCTTAGTAAGCTTGCTTTTAAATAGAAACATTTTCAAGGGAGAGTGACAGGAGGAAAGCTTCTGTATGTATGACTGAAGTAACTGTAGGAAGGACTGTCAGTTTACTGAAGTCTGAATGTCCATCGATCTTTTCCATAATAATTGATAATGTTTAAGCTGTTATTGGTCATATTACTAAAGGCCTTTATTAACCTCCACTGCGTACATGCCTTTCGGTAGCAACCACAGTATTTAAACGGTCATATTCTTGTGAAACATGCAATGCTTTAATCGCACATGGCCGATGACTCACTATAAATTGGCGCGCTGTCAAATACCAACACGTGTTTTCGTACAGAAGGATAAAATGACAGATATCAGAATATCTGTGAGGATTCGGTGAACGAAAATAACGGATCAAATAGATATAAGAACAATATTGACAGTGAGATAATTGACATTATAACTGAAAATCGAACCTCCTGAATAACAGCATTGTCCGGTTGGAGAAGTTTCACTAGAATTGCTTCTAAGGGCGCCGCCATCTTGGTTAGTGATAATCGTTATCTCCCGAGATGAAGAGTTCGTTCTTGTCAACCAAGTATAGTCTGTTTTATATATATCCGGACGATGATCAAAACGAATAACGGTTACATGACAAATTTGCTAAGCATATATTTTGTACACTTGCATGGATTGTGACATCAGGTATATCCTGTGATATCTGTGTTTTTTGTGACCCTGTTCTCATAACGATTGAAATTCAGCACTAGGTTAATACCTAATGATTATATACTATTCGATTAATCATTTACATTAATAATACATAATACATTTTAATATTGGTATTGTCGGGTCAATTAAAACAGAAACTGTATTAAATTGTTGTCTTTTCGGGAAATGTATGTGTAGCAGGTCGTGGAGTCATCCCAGAGATGCTATCCTTACCTTGTCAGCTTGCTGACAGGGTTAACCTCTTGGGTCAAATGGACAAGACGTCCGACTTCGGATCATAAGGTCCATGGTTCGAGTCCCTGGCCGATACATTGGCTGAGCACGTGGTCAGTAGCCAGCTATGCGGCCAGGCCATGTGTGGATGTAGCAACCCGAACTGGAATAACTAGCATTGAGAATTATACGTGTTGCTTTCAACTATGTATTTAATCGACAAACAACTATTAAGAGCAAAATCAGCTGAAAAGACGTGCCTTCTGTTGATGGGGGAGTATATGTAGCAGGGCGTGGACTGATCCCATAGATGACATACGTACCTTGTCAGCTTTCTGACGAGGCTAACCTCTATGGTCATGTGGACAAGGCGTCCAATAAGAAGATCTGTGGTTCGAATCCAAGCACGGGACTCGGAAATTTTATGGCCGCTACATATGTAAGGCACCTTCCTACAGGGTGTACATGAATGCAGTCCACTGATGTAATGAGTGAGTGAGTATGGTTTACCGTTTACGCTGCTTTTAACAATATCACGGAGGTGGACACCTGAAATGGACTTCACACAATGTATACCCATGTGGGGAATCGAACCCGGTTCTTCTGCGTAACGAACGGATCCACGCTTTAACCACTAGGCTACCCAGCCTTCCCTCCACTGATGGACCAGGCATAGCTGGCACTGAGTCACGGCGGTTCAATGTACACGATTCAGTTTTGTGTTACTCTATTTTGCCATTCACCATATATATTTATTGACTCATTGACGATACTTTCAAACTATATCCAATTATTCAGCAGGATCAACATTCCTCCAATTCTACAACAATGTTAAAATGATTCTACTATTCAATATCCGTACCAAATAGTAATTATTATTCAATATATAAATGTATTATTCTGCCATTTTGAAAAACACACACACTTCTGTTTAACCATTTGTTAGAATAGCCTGGTGAGCCGTTTAATCTTGAAGGGTTCGAGAGACGTTTGTTTGAAGTCGCTGTGCAGCTGGACTATCCACAACCAGAGACCATATGTTAGAATTCCGATATCTTATAAAAACCCATGTAACATTTATGCTTTTGAAAAAAACCCATTCATCTTTGTAAATTCGAACATGATCGTTGCCAGAACCAAGTGCAGGTACTAATTAAAAAGACTGTATTGCTTGATTAGATCTTCATGGGCAGACAGGGTGTAATGCCCTTGATCTCTGTTGACCAAATGTCTGTGACCACAAAGGTTCCTAGTCATGAAATTCAGTTTGACAAAGTCCAAGTCCTCAAATCAGAACTTCCTCAAAGAAAACTCGAAAAAGATCGTTTATGTTGTAGAAACAGGCTATAGTTTCTGAAATCTCGTGTGATCTCGCGAAGTGCTCTCTGCAGCAGACGAGCCAAGATGGCGTCCAATTTCCACGGAAAACAACATAACTTCAGTGATAGAAAGCTGTCAGAAGGATTGGAACACATACGATTAGCTGAGAAATGGTAATAAACGAATTCAGATTTGAAGAGTAAACAGAATATACCGTTCGTTAAGTTTACCTTGTCAGGTTTGTTTGATAGTGAGCAAGTAATATTATGGACCCAAACAATGTCTGTGACATTGCATCAACAAGTGACATGGCACACCCGCTCACGTCATAAGATCATCATCACACATTCAGTTTTGGGCAGCTAGTAACAGCGAGATATATGATACAGTTACCTCGATGACTTTGTTCACACAAGCAAATCATTGCAAAGGAATCAAATGCTAACGTAAATCTACATGTCATTTTATGATACATCTTTGGGCCATAATATAAGTCTGCCCGATGTGTGACAATGGCTGTATCTTGTGTTACGAAAATAACCCTCCCTTTTGCTGTTAACGAGACTAGTTTCGCTTCGAGTTTCCTTATTTTTTCTTTATTTTTATCCCTTTTCTGAAACCTACTAGGCCTACTAGGTGATAAATTATCCTTGTGTTAAGGGTTTTAGACTGTTAAGAACATCTCTTGTTGTTTCCTTGTTTTCATATGAACAGTTTGTAAAACATGTCATTTTCCAGCGATGTTACTTAAGGAAGTATGGCGCTGTGGAATATGTTGAGTATATGTATTTACAGTTAACCGGACGCTTCACTATCCGGACGATGTCCAAGTGTAACCAAAATGTCCAGATAAAGGGGGTTCGACTGTATATTCTTTTGTTTTATCTACTGTCATCCAAAAATGTACAAATACCATAAAAATAAAATATTCATAAGCTTTGATTGCTTTGTCTATTCAAAAAATAATCCTGACTTCAGTATGAAGACATCTCTATTCAAATGGAAGCCAGATGTGGATGGGGCAGTAGACGAATACAGGAAAGCTGGTAAGTTCATTTTGACACATCTTATAGTGTAGTTCTAAAACAGGGTGATAGCAGACACAAGAGATAGGAATTCCTTTGATTTTGATGCATCAAGTGAAAAAGAGTACAAAATATATGATCAGGGAAACCATGCAGCCTGCTCAGATGTGTCTTTCATCATGTTACTGAATTATTCAGATCAATAAAATAAAATAGAACAGAACAATTCAGATTAGACTTTGTCACTGGTTTTAACCTGTTAAGCCCTCTGTTGTGAGTTATTTGTTTAAATCTTTGACCATGAGGCTTTATTTAAGGGTTTTGGCAGTATGTGCCCCAAAGAACTAAAATTAAGGAATTTAGATGGGTAACTTTAGTAAGCATGGTAAGAATCAGAAAATTGTATATCTGCTTTGATCAGTGTATTCAAATTAACAAGCCCTGAGTTATTGTTTATTGTTAAGTATATTGTTAAAAACATTTTGATGGTAGTGTGTGATAAATATAAAACTTTAAAATTTCAAAGTATTTAACCAAGTGTTTTACTTTCCAGCAACAAGTTTTAAAAATGCAAAGGCATATGATGAAGCCAAGGATATGTACCTGAAGACTGCTGAACTCCAACAACAATGTGGAGCGTATCCTTAAAATGACTAAAAGTAAACAGATCATTTAGGCCCTTTATTGCTGTTGACTGTATGAAAGGTAAAATTGTATCTGAATATACAAATAATATATCAGTTTTTTTACTGATACAGTGTACCTTTATGTGTCAATCATTTGGTACTTGAAACAGTTACTTATTTATGTACATGTCCATGAAATTGCACCAGAAAATGAGTAAGACCATAATCATAACTCGTAAAATGTCCACAAAAGCTAAGCATTGATATTCTAAGGTGACCATATTTGAAAAATCAAAACAGTGTCAGAGAAAATCTTAAAAACAAAACAGTTTATGTTGTCTTTTCTAACTGAACAAGGATGTACATGTATCTCATTTAGGCTCATTTCAGGATATATGCAATGTGGTATGGCTTACACATTTGTGGATACAAATCTGCATGTAATTTTAATGACCATGTACCCGTGAAGATCCGGGTTAGAATGTTCATCTTCAGTAACCCATGCTTGTCGTAAGAAGCCACTAACGGGATCAGGTGGTCAGGCTCGCTGACTTAGTTGACACATCATCGGTTCCCAATTGCGCAGATCGATGCTCATGCTGTTGATCACTAGATTGTCTGGTCCAGACTCGATTATTTACAGACCGCCGCCGCCATATAGCTTGACTATTGCTGAGTGCAGTGTAAAACTAAACTCACTCACTCACTTAATGACCATAGTAAATGGAATAAGAATGATTGAAGGAACAAAGATAGATTATTGTCAGTATCTCTTTAGAGTTGTTTTTCCTTGATTCTATGCAGAACATTTCATGCTGCTAAGTGAGTATTATTTTCTTTCTAGATAAAACAAAAGATCTGTTATATCTAGTTTTGTTATTTCCATATCTCAGGCCAAATCTGTATTTTTATCATTTTGTGTTTAACAATCTGAATGACATGGTTACATTAGAAGATTTCTTGCATCTTATCATGTAATTGTCATAAGAAACATGGAAATGCTGTTATTCAACACATAATCAAAACAAATGGACATAAATCATGTTAATGCATTTAATTGGTAATGTGTGAAATTAATTAAGCAGTATGATGGGTGAAATCTGATTCCTTTTGATGACAAAAGTACATTCTTGTCACAGGTCATTTGAACAGGCTGCGATGATCTGTAAAGAGAACAAAGAGATAGATCAGTGTCTCCACCTGATGCAGACTGCTGCCATAATGTTCCAGGAACATGGCACCCCTGACACAGCAGCACTCACACTGGACAAAGCTGCCAAGTAAGCAGATGGATATACTCTGAAGTAGTCTTCTCGTTATCAGTTGAAGCCTGGCCATATATCAATTATGAAATGGCAGATCCAAATTGGGTCTTGTGGTCCTTTATTTTCAGACATCCACTGTAATAATCAAGGCAATGTTTTTGTATGCTTTGTGACTATAGAAGTGTGAAGTTGAATCTCTCCATATGAAGTACAGGGCCAGCATGCTCTTCACTTGATGTAGATCAAATAAAAGTAGTTTCACACCTTAAACTGACAGGGGTATTTTCAATATAGTTTCCATTTTTCATGATGTATATGTGGACTTTGAATAGGCATTTATCAGATTTATCTTATTTACATGGTTTTTACCTCATCCTGTTACAAATATCCATCCTGTTATTTCATATTCATGTGCAGCCATGTTTATTCTAACAGAATGGCGGAGATGAACCAGCCTGAGAAAGCCATTGATATCTACTTGAAAGCCTGTGACGTTGTTGAGGTTAGTCTGTAATATAAACATGTAATATAAACAGGGTCTGAAACAAGTCTCAGTATCAACCATAGCCATGATGAGGACAGTGAAGAGATTGTTATGAGAGCATGTTGGTGCAAGAACACACTGAGAGTTTATCAGACAGAGTTTATCAGTTTATCATGACCCAGCATTTGATTTCTATGTATCAAAACATCATCTGTATATATATAATATTATCAGGATCATTTGTGATCATCCTGTAAATGCATGGTTCCAATCAGGTATTGTGAGAGGGATGTCGTATATTTAAAGTAAGTCAGGTGTGTCCTCTCTAGCATGCATAGGCTGACTTAGGGCATTTCAACAATGTCATTATAGTTATTCAAATGTGGAGGCTTATGTTATAAAGAGGCAACATCAATGATGTAAGGATTCATGAGACTCTGCGAGATACTTACTTACAACTGACAACTTATGTACTTACAACATGTTAATCTTATGACTCCATAAAAAACATCATGGAAAAATAACACAGGCCTATTAAACAGTTCCACCACAACATCTTCCAAATCAAAGGGAGATATTGTGTTTTACCATGTACATTCACAGGCCCTCGTGTCTTTGCGAGGATTAAATATTTAATTTTCTTTTGGAGATGACCCCCGACTCAAAATGCTACACAATAGCCCTCTGGTTGGTTGATCCTTGTTTAGGAGACATTTACAACTGATGCTTTCTTTTGAGAAGCCATTGCTCGAAAGTATTCTTACATTAAGCAGATTTGCAAGCATTGACCAATCAAAGAGCTTGCTTCGACCACATCCCCCGTTTTGTGCAGAGATTTCATCATCCATTTGTGTCAAGATCGTTTAGTTGAGAGTCAAAATCGGGTTTCAATCGACTTGCAGAAATAACAATAAAGAATTGGTAGGTTTCATGATAGGTGCTCGATGGGCCAATCATCCATGATTATGTTCACATTAAGTTTTAATCGATTGCATGCGATGGTAGCGTAGCGATCGGCAAAGCAGGCGGGTGGGGTATACCGAAGTGTCCGGCCTTGTCATAATGTATGGTACTGTGAAGCATTTCGAGTCGGGGGTCATCTTAAATGTTTTATTTTTTTTAACATCTTTAAGCCTTGAAAGACACGAGGACCTGTGTGTACATTACAGTTTGTTTGTCATGTTTTTGGTTTTCTTGAATGAACTAAACTGAATATATCTGTTTTCCCAGATTGAAGACCGACCTCGACAATGTGCAGAATACATTGGAAAAGCTGCAAGGCTCATGATAAGGTGTAAAAGGTAGGACATAGAGATTTATCTTGCCTCACACATAAATTTCGTTTTCTGATTGGCTGAGCACTCTTCTATTATTTTCAGTGTACCCAGCTTACATGCGAGTAACATTTTCTATGTACCCACTGGGAATGCTGAACTCATTTGGTAATTCGTAGCAGTATTCTTTATCTCGAATAACATTGAATCACGAAATTACCGATGTTTTGCAAATGCAAATCGATGGAAGGGAGATAACACTAAATTTATTTTTCATGTCGTCTTGTCATCTGGTACTCCATACTATGATCCGATACCCGTGCTTCAAACAACTCAGAATTACCATTGAGGTGTTCGTTAAGATAAATATGTTATTCACTGGTCCCTTGGGGCCCAATGGGTTGATGTACCCTCGATGTTTCTTTATGTTCCCCTCGCCCTTTGGGCTCAGGGAACATGAACAAACATCAAAGGTACATCAGCCCATGTCCCCCTTGAGACCAGTGAACAACTTATAATGTATGTCCCCAAATGTAAAGTATATCCTGGTTATAATGCCCCAAGGTATAAAGGCCAACTTATTTTAATGCCCAAGGGTGTCAGAACAGATTTTCCACCATTACCATTACATTCCCTGGATATAATGCCACACTGATTATAATGCTACCACCAATGTTTCTGAGAACAAATGTTTTAATTCTCTGTTCACATGTCATAAAATGATTTAATATGTTTTGAGGTTGACCAATTATTTTTGGAACTGGCCAGGGAGAGCCATCGGGGGGTCAGGATAATATTTATATTTTTAGAATATTTCACCTGTTAATAACGTCAATTCAACATGTCTAATCTTTGGTATTTTCTCATCCAGTATCATAAAAGTGTTGATATTTTTAACTTAACATACTGAAAACTGTTCTTCAGTTTTCAGCATTACAGGTCATACTTCAGCATAAGATTAGAATCAGTGTTAAGCATCTCCTTGTAGGTGACGAAATAGGTACCCTGTACCCATGCTTGTACCCAGATTTGACTTCATTAAGGTTTAGATGGTTTCCTTGTGTGACCTGGCATCATATGTCATAGTGATATAGTACCAGTGAAGATCCGGGTAAGAACTGATCTTCAGTAACCCATGTTTGTTGTAAGAGGCGACTAATGTGATCGGGTGGTCAGGCTCACTGACGTTGTTGACACATGTCATTGTATCCCTGTTGTGTAGACTAATGCTCATGCTGGTGATCACTGAATTGTCTGGTCCAGACTCGATTATTTACAGACCGTCGCCATATGTCTGGAATATTGCTGAGTGTGGCGTTAAACAACCAACCAACCAACAAGACTGTGCAATACATTAAATCCAGTCCTTTCATCAGCAGTCATATACATATATACCCCACATGGGAATTCTGGTGTCCCCTGCTCGTGATACTGCTGGAATATTGCTACAAGCGATGTAAAACTAAACTCACTCACTCTAGGGATATCCTTAACTACACCTTCCCCTTGTGGCAAGGTAAAGGTTTTGAAGACATGATATGTTTTCATGTTTTGAGCAAGTAAATCTCAAGCTTTCTCTGAATATCATGAAGCTGACAAAATATTCAAGTTAGGAACAGAAAAACATGAACACAAAGACAACAGCTAAAAACATAAACACAAACCATACCATTACACCCGAGGACCTACTCTTACCTGGAACCTTGAGGTATTCCTGGAGAAGTTATTGCTTGTTACATCAACCACTGGTTTGTCTTTTCAAGAATGACCATTTCTTGGGTGCCACATTATGGCTTCATTAAAGCTGGAACAACAAAATGAACAACAACAGACAATGTTCACGCTGCATGTCACCCTTTCAGTTTCACTCAATCACTCACAGTGAGTTAGTTATATGCCATAGGTTGTATGTCACATTACCTGAATGGCCTGATTATTTCAAACTCCATCAACCACTGCGTGACTGAGACTTTAGTATTTAAATGTTTTTGTAATAAAACTGGAATGCGCTGACTTGAGGTGAAAAAACTTTCTGTGTAACACTCATTTTTGTAACCATCTGCCACTGCTGTTACCTACTTGCAGGTTTGATGAAGGTGTGAAGACACTGAAGAAGGAGATAGACTATTACATGGAGTGTGAGAACTTTGAACTGATCAATAAGGTGATCATGGGGACAGTGTTGGTCCACCTCACACAGGAGGACTACGTGGCGGCTGATAACTTCTTCAAGTCTTGTCTCACGTGAGTCCAGTATCTAGTCACCTTGGGAATGTTGTGTCTCAGTCTCAATACTACTGACACGTTATTAACATTTGAGGATTCCTCTATAACTTGCAGCAGGGGAACTCTCCTATCAGTCCACTATCGAGACTCCTAAATTCTTGGTATAAGTGTGTGAAGCAAGCACCTGCATATCATATTTGTGTATTGTGAAAACAAGGGAAAACAACCTTTCCTAATTGTACCGGTACATAAGGAAGTGAGTGAGTTAAAATTTTGAGTCACATCGGCAGTATTTCAGCCAGACATACATAAGGAAGGCTGTGCAATTATGTTGTAGTCTATATTTTATACGCCCTGGATTTCCCAGCATCTACACAGAAAAGCTGCTGAACTATATTTTAAGCCAAATCATTTTAGAAAGCTGACCTCTGATTCACTGAAAAATTCACACATCCTTCATTTAGAGTAGGCAGCCAAGGATCACCCAGGTTTCACTCAAAGCATCTTTCCATGGAGATGTCCACAGATCATAACACAATACGGTGTCAGGAGTAAAAATTCTGCTTGAAATGAGATTGTAAATGATTTCATTTGGTCTCATCATGTAAGTCAGTTGGGATGTTACAGTTCTTACCCTGCTATTACAGGGGTAGATTTACATTGTTACTGTCTTTGTAAAATTGTTGGAAAACCTCTTTGTAGCCATTTCAAGAAATCACATAAAGGCAAGAAGTTATGGATGTCAACCTCTTTATTTGGATGGACACGTGATTTCATTACATTAATAACAAGGTTACCTTATCACTATTCTTCTTTCACATGTTGATATATAGCTGTCTGTTTCCCAGTCTTTCATTCACCTGATGAAGGAGTAAGAATATATACCCCGAAACATTGTGTCCATTAAAATAGAGAAGTTGACATCCATAAACACTCTTACCTTTATGTGTATCACTTCTAATGCTGTTCAAAGACTCTACGAAACCCCATGTTTTGAAATAATTTGATGAACAGAAAGCATTGTAGATGCATTAGTATAACAGTGTTTGATTATTGAGTGAGTGAGGTTAGTTTTACGCTGCACTCAGCAATATTTGAGCAATATGACAGCGGTCTGTAAATAATTGAGTCTGGACGAGACAATCCAGTGATCAACAGCATGAGCATCGATCTATGCAATTGGGAACCGATGACATGTGGTCAACAAAGTCAGCGAGCCTGACCACCCAATCATGTTAGTTGGTTTGATTGTTGATCGAACATGTTCAAACTAGATATTAGTTTTAGAATTATGCATGATGTGAAAATTGCTTCAGCATAACAGAATTTACTTACATTTAATGAGATACGAAAGCCTGAAGTGGTAAAGGGCTTAGAAGCTAACAACTCTGGAGACACACATATGGGTGTGATGCTAGGTGACTATACTTGGGTGACACCAAGGTTTCTTAACTCATTGAGCTGACTATACATGTATTTTCCAATGGATAGTCTGACTAAAATGTGGATCAGGTATTTTATGGTTGTCTCAAGAGCAGACTGGTGTGGGTTAGATTGATGTGACCTAAATCATGATGTGCATCATGGTGCCTGGACAATGTGGTTTCATGCTTTCAACCATAGGTTTGTTCTGCCAGATTCGGGAAATCACAGGCAGCTCTGATAAAGCACAAATATTATAGATGTCTACAAAAATCAATTTTCTTTACTGATGACACCTTTTCCCTTCTGCAAGAAGGATTATTTACAACTATGACAAATATTAAGGTATATGACTAACTTGAATGTGCGTATTTGTCAGTCTGACAACGTTTGGGTCCAGCGAGGAAGCTGGAGCACTGGAGGACCTACTGACAGCATATGATCAGGGAGATGAAGAGGCAGGGAGAAGGACTCTCAAACTCCCCCTCTTTAAGTACTTGGATAATGCTGTAAGTACACATTATCTATCACCATACTTGCAGCTTCTGAAGGAACTGAACAATAATGACAGTGATGCTTGTAGCCATGGTAATGTTCAAAGAAACTTTGTTTGCTACTTTGTTACTGTGGTTACATACTCTTGTAGCTTTAGAATACATATTGTATACCCACATTTCAGCTGATTATTTATCATTGCATATGTATTCAGTTTGCAAAATCTTTATATATAGGCTGGATGTAGTAACTTGTTTCAATCTGCACAACAATGTAAAAATGTTCAGATGTCAATTTATCTACATATGGGATGGATAGCTGGCATTTCTTGTTGTTAAGTCTGAGTATTGCCAGTACTAACACACTGTTGTTAGGAACATGACCAGGTTTGAGATAGCAGACTGTTAAATTAGAGTTCCTAATGGGCTGCTCACGCCTATGTTCCTCCTGTAATTATTTCCTTTCCTCCATGTTTCAGTTTGCCAAACTTGCACGAGACCTGGTGATTCCTGGAGGAGTATCGTCTCCGACAGGCAACTCTAGTGCTGTTCAAAGCCCGAGCCAAGAAAGTGCCGGAGAGGCATTTCCTGATGGTCTTTGTTAGTTATTATGACATCTGTGGGGTGTTTGAAAGAGGAGTTAACAGGACTGAATGCAACATAGGTAGATTTTGTCAGCTATTCAGTTGGCTGTTACAATCTGTTGTCTGAGGGTTCATTCCTGGCAATGTAGAACCAATAAATAATATATGTTTTATTTAGAATGGACTCAGATTTATCCACACTCTATACTCAACTCTGATTAGGCAACAATGTATTGACTATTAAATATTCATGGCCTCAAGCCTGACGACAGATGAATTGTCTCCATCTATTGGTGGAACAAATTGCTATAGGTGTTGTTTTGTTCACCTTGATGAAATTGTTGACATACAGTCAAGTGTTTTAATAATAAAGGCTCTGCAAGAAGTTATTACAAATAGCTGGTGTAATTTGATAAATGTTTGTCTTAAATGAAACGATACTTTTAGAATGACCTCAGTTACTATTACTGGTTAAAGTTTATCATCAGTCATAATTACTATACATATTTGCCATAAACATTTATATACCAAATTATATGCATCATGAATGATGTTTTTGAATGAAAAAATAGTATTTATTGCTTTGCCTTATGGATACAGGCACGCTTTTAGACAAAATGATGTTTTTCAGTTTAGAGAGTTTGTGGCAAAAATATCAATCTGAATTATGTGTATATTTATAATGCATCAAATCTACACCATAAAGCATGCTCAAAGCCCTACATGCCCTTAGCTTAAGATACGTGAAGTTAATGTTAATGCATGGCACTTGGCTTATGAGAGCTTCAAAATCTAGGCCGTGGTCTGTGGATCTGTCTGTACTTGAATTTCCTTCTGAGCTCCCAGGGGGAGTATTCAATTCAAACTGGCTGATAAGGCACAAGGAGGTTAATGGTCACACTGCCATCTACTGGCTGTCACTATATTATGTGGTTATCTCCCCTGAAAGGGCTTTTCACTGATAATGATGAAACGGGCTAGGCACGTTCCCACTTATGTCACCTGAATTTGTTGAAGAGGTTCCAGTTTTCAAAGAAAACCAACATATGAGCATTAATAAGCTACTGCAAATATAATGTGCATTTTGACTTGTTTTTATGTGACTTTTTGATATGACTTGATATGTTCTTTATCAATGTTTTTTGCTTTCAATTTGTGGATTCCTGTTTTTGAATGCATAACAGATTTATCTATCCACAATGTGTACATATCAAAATTATAATAGGATAGGTGTGCCAAAGTGTTCATGATGTCCCGAAAATGGTAGTAAGACGTAACATTGATCTTCTCTCTTACTAGTTCGGGCGGTGGGGTAGTCTAGTGGTTAAGGCGTTGGCTCATCACGCCGAAGACCCGGGTTCGAATCCCCACATGGGTACAATGAGTGAAGCCCATTTCTGGTGTCCCCCGCCGTGATATTGCTGGAATATTGCTAAAAGCGGCACAAAAAACCAAACTCGGTCAGTCAGTCTTTTACTAGTTAAAGCTGGCTGGAAGATGAAACAAAGGGCAGAACACCATTGTCTTGTAAATCTGTGAACTGGCTCATGACCATCATCAAAAGATTCATTTCAATCATGTCTCACTCTGGCATCTGAATAGGTCAAAAGAATTTAGCAAGGTGACTGGGTCATTTTGCTTTTGCAAAAGTTTTGGAATAGTTATGACACTAATCAATAATGTGGTAGAACTTTGAGGATTTCTACAATACCTTTATTGCCCACAATGTAGATTGGTTTGTGTGATAAGAAATGTCAGAGTTAGGGAGGTACCACTGATTAATGTCAGATATAATTTAATGAATTTATTTCTCCAGAGAAGATGTTTTTTGTATAAAATGAATACAATTACTGGTGACACAATTTATTTTCATTTCCTTATGCTTTATGATACTATCAGTAGAGTACAGAATGTTGACAGTATTACTTACAAATGATATATCTAGCTCTGGGCATCAATAGTTCAATCAATCACCATACCATACCCACAACTGACAGGCATGGTTTTGGCTCTTGATTCAGCATAGGATATTGTCTGATTGGATCCAAAAGCTGTCTGCGTCATTGTTTTACTCATTTGCATACATTCATATTCCTGGATTGTTGCTCCAAATAATTCCAAAATTAGTACCTGTGACAACATTGTTATTATTATGATCATGCTTATTCCAGACATTCCATCTGTGATCAACATAAAGAACATGTTAAGTCGGTTCATGATGGTATGTGTTGCAAATCAAATTCCTTTGCTTTTGTGAAGTTAGGTGGCTCAAATTGTGCATGTTGTTACAGGTGAATGCAAATTTTAAGATAAAATAACAGTTGTGAAGTGACTATGAATACTTTCTAATGCTTGCACCTGCTTTTCTATATTTCATTCATTTAAAAATTTAGGATTCTGATAAAAGTCATTCTTTGTTTGTCCCTGTTTTCAAGTATGTTGCTATGTTGTTATCGGTCTTTCTTCAGTGTCACTAATCTTTGCACATATTTAAGATATGAATTTAATTCGTCACAAGCAGAGTATTATGGTTGCTTTCTAATATGTATTGTTTACATTGATATGCTCAGGCTGCAACCATAACCACTATTCACTTAACATTTCATGTTTAGTTAATTTTAGTCACTATCTGCTAATCATGCTAATTCAGCAATACTTGCTTCTGCAACTGATGCCAGTTCTGGCTTGTAGACTCAATGTTTTTTGGTAAATATAAAATAAGAATATTTACAGGCAGGTATGTAATACAGCTGTACAGACTGCTGACTGTGGCATTAAATACCTTTGACTGGATCACTGTTAGATACATAGGGTAAATGGTTAAAGTATTTACGTGTCACACCAAACACCCAGGTTTGATTTCCCACATTGGTGGTACATTGTGAGAAACCCATTTCTGGTGTTGTGCCGCAACATTGCTGGAATGTTGTTAAAAAGCGGCTTAAAATCATACTCACTCAGATACCTGGATGTACATTGGAAGACTAGTTAGTACTGCGTTATATACTAGATGGCTATAGTATGAGTGTTGTGAACTCTGGTCAAATATTGATGCATGTTTCCTCTTGTAGGGTCTTACTAGGGCAGCATAGGCAGCTGTGATATATCTCTATTGCATCATTACTGCTTCTAAAAATTACATAGCAGTTTGAATGTGACTTGTTTCAGTGTTGTAATGCTGTTTTATACAAATGCAGTTATTGCATGTACAGTGAATGAATTATTTATTGTGTCAGATTTGTTACCCATGAACTACGAGCCAATGTTCTTGGTGCAATTGAGAAAGTTAAATAAACATGAATTACAACATTTGCTTTGTTCATTCTTTCTGAATGAGGGCGGTGGGGTAGCCAAGTGGTTAAAGTGTTGGCTCGTCACGCCAAAGGCCAGAGTCTGATTGCCCACATGGGTACAATGTGTGAAACCCATTTCTGGTGTCCCCTGCCATGATCTTGCAGGAATAGTGCTAAAAGCGGCGTAAAACCATACTCACCCTTTCTGAATGCATTGTGAAGGTCGCAGGATGCAGTATCTTTATTAGCAAATGCGACACCTTGTCACAACGCATCGGATTGCGGATTGAAATTTTACTTTAAAGTTTGAGATTCTGTTTGTATTCAGGTTGTTTAATTTTCAAGATTGGATAGCCACAATGGGTCAGAGATCATGGTTTGGACTTTTCTCTTTCTTGTGTCCCCTTGTAGTAATATTGCTGCAATGTTGTTAACACCGGTGTGAAACAATATTCTCCAACATACTCATCTGTTGTGTTTGTCTGCATTGAGGAAAGAGGGTCCGGGAAATGGTTTACACCCTGACTCATGAAGGGTAACTTCTAATCATCTACTGTGATGTGTCATTGGTACTCAAAGTTTGTTCTGTAATATCCATTTACCAGTTGCCTGTTGCTAATACCTGTAATCATGGCAATCAGGTTGAATGCATGCACATTAACAAAGATGTAAGAGTTACTAATATCTCTGTCCACAGTAACATTTCATGATAAAAGAATTGTAGAGTGTCAACATCTATTGTTAAGTTTGTACACAAAATGGAAATGTGTTCGTATTATTTCTTGGTTTCTGATACCATTTTGTCTTTTTTAATACATGTGAAATGTATATTTACCTTATTCAAATCTGTTTATTTGTGAGATGTACATACAAATGAACTGTATATTAGCATATTATGGTGCAAACTTAGGTGCATTCGTCATGGATACTCTCCTGATCTATATAATGATCCCACTGTTTGTTTTATTGTCATAGCCATCTGAGATACCATCCAGTGGTGTCAAACTGGATACCCTACCATACATGGTCTACTGATTACAAGCTGACAAGTTGTTGCTTTGTCCATTGGACAGAGTAACAACATCAACATGTTTGTTACATTTGTTGGATTAACTGGATCCTGAATGGCATCTTGTGATCATCTTGTGACAGGTGCTCTATCCACTACACCAAAGAGACAGTCCCATGTTTAGCTGAACATTAAAAGTATAAATGTTACTAAACCTTACTTAAAGACTGATGTTTTACCTCAAGTTTAGGCCTCAGTATGAACTAACAGAACAAATATAATGTGTTAAAAATGGTGAGGCAAGTATGTAGATTGTGCAGCAATGTGTAGCATGGGGACTTTTTACGACTTTATGGATAACAACTTATTGTGTATTGCATAGTGACGTTCGGTGTAGATTCTTACACCTTTATCAAGCTAAAAGTGTGTACATCCAAGTGTTGAGAAGATTATATACATAGTATTTTGTGACAAGCATCAGATTAACATTAATAACAGCATATAATTGAATAACATGTGGTAGAGAATTGGATTAGACCAGGTGGGAAGTTATCTGATGCTTGTCACAACTTACTATGTAATCATACTTCTCAACACTTGGTTGTACCCACTCTTAGCTGTAAGAATCTACACAGAAATATCGCTCTATGCAATAAACAAGAAGTTGTTATCCATAAAGTCGTATGCTTTATTATTGACTCACTATCTTCTAGAATGCCAATAGAAATATTCTCCAGCACGACGTTAAACCCAATTTCACCTCACCTCACCTAGAATGCCAATCAAACAATAATATGAATGTTACTGTAAGTTACCATTTCAGTGTGATTCCCTTATTAATGTTCATAGATAAATTATATGTGCAATAAACTGAGCACCCCTAGTGTATTTATTGTCATAATACACAGATAGCCGTGTAATATTACATTTCTTGTGTACACACTGTGGACCCTGTCCAGTCCAGACCATTGTGTTGCAGACAGTATCCAAACCTAGTATCTGTATATGTACAGATTATATCTCTATCTACCTGCTCAGTCAGTTTACCTGTTTTCACTTGTATCTGAATGGCTGAAGAAATTACAGATTTTGTTTCATAAGCACTACTAGCATATTCAAAATAAGTGTCATTTTCTTCTCTTTCCTTCATGAATGAATTTGGTTTGGCCCTTGTCAAGGTTTAGGGCATGGACTAATATACTCTGGAGTAACTAATGCTGCGTGTATAGTGTAACATGATACCTCTTACGTGCCACATTCTTCAATATGATATTGTTCTGTTTAAATCATGTGGGCCGACTAACGGGATCACTGACTTGCTTGATGCATGTCAATGCCAGTTCTGTAGATCAATGCTCATTATCGCAATCACTGTATTGTCTCAATTATTAGAGACTGCCAACATATAGCAGGAATATCGCTGAGTGTGATGTTAAACAACAACAAAGAATATATCTAGATTAGCAAGCCAGTGATTGAAATCAGAAGTGACGATATGAGTTGTCAACCATGTTGCCGAGTTAGACCACCAAATCTTTCACTTATGAAAACTTAGTCTTCTGGAAACCAATTCTGATTAAATGCCATTGAATCTCAGTAAAAATCTTTTTAAAAAATCATTGAATCTAATAATTCCAAAGTGTAAACATCCATAAAATGTGATATTCCTACTGAACTGGTCTGGATTTGTCATGCTCCACAGTAGATGTCAGTTATATCTTTCGTCATGTTCATGCTATGTGTCATGTGTATATAATAATGAAAGATCCTTTTAACTTTGTATTTTGCAAAGCAGTATCAATAAATCATTTTCAGAATCTACTGCTGTGTTTTTTTCTATTTTTAAGCCACAGGCATCAGTATGACAGTGGCCTGTGGTCACTAGAATCTTGGTGGGAGTGACCTGGAACAACCCAGTATTACTGTACAAGAAACAGACATCGGTATTTGAAAAGGTCATGGTAGTTGCATCAAAAACAGTTTTTGTTGTGACTGAGGGCATGGGTCGCCTAGTTGTCTATGGTGCCACAATGTGCAGAGTGAATTGGGGTTCGCTCCCAGTTATGTTTCCAGGTTCATCAGCACCATACCCATGTTTGTGGGTTAACAAAGTAGTAAACATATGAGGCTTCCTCACACTTTAAGCTGACACATCGGATGAGTGAGTGAGTGAGTTTGGTTTTAAGTCGCTTTTAGCAATATTCCAACATATCACGGCAGGGGACACCAGAAATGGGTTTCACACATTGTACCCATGTGGGGAATCAAACCTAGATATTCGGCAAGACGAGCCAATGCTTTAACCACTAGGCTACCCCACCGCACCACACGTCAGATGAAACGGGAACACCCACACCAACGCGCGCACACACACTACACACATAAAAGACAAACAAGTATTTCCTCATAATCACTTTAATTGATATGATTTCTTATTATAATTTACTTCTCAAATTCAACAAGGTGAACCAACATTCTTGTCCCATGATAACTAAAACAGTGAATTTATAAAACAATATGTCACTTGTAAAATAGTCCATAAACAAATGCATTAAATACAAGGAAAAACTCCAAACAGAATAAAACATTTAATGTGTGCATTCTCCAAAGCACATCAAACACTATTTGGCAGGGCAACATTTGCTTTCACACTTCCCTCTTACTGAAGAGTCGGTCTGTACTACTGGTGACTTGACTCCTATATTTTGTAGTATTTTCACATGTTAGGATGTTAAGATCTTAATATTGTAACAAACACGTAACATCTCAATTATAACTTGATATATATCATGTTCTGAATATTATCAAAACAGTCTGAATTCAAATGACATGCACTTCTGTTACATATATAAGATTTTTATAGTTTTGTTCTGTAAATCATCCATAGACAATGGTGTCATTACACTCATGGATAATGCCTATCTATGTGCACTGAAGTACAAAAATATACTGATAAATTCAAACAGCAAGGATAAGGCACCTGCTTGAAATGTGACCTTGATACTTTCATTATGACCTCAAAGACAACCTTAAACTTTCTTGACTCCTTGGAAGTGAGACAAGTTGTACAATGATTTTGATATCCGGCACATTCGGAGGTGGGTCAGAGTTTGGAGTCTTTCACTGTCCTGACTACACCCTCCTGGACAACAGACATCGCCAACACACCATCAGGTCTCCACAGTCGACCCAGGGTCAGCGCTCGTCCAGACCCTGGAGAACAAATGGTAATGTAAGGAATACACAAAGCCACTTTGAAAGTGGTCAAATATAACCTATGTTTGGGACTATACTTTAATAATAATATAATAATAATAATTCATTTATATAGCGCCTAGTATCCATCTGACTAGTTGCTCACTGAACGCGGTAATCAGAATCTGATTATTATTACCCCGGATAACCCAAGCTACCTGTGGGCACTAGAAGCTTATAGTCACATGACTTCATGCAACCGGGGTACCCATTTTCTGCTGGGTTAACAGAGGCAATTTTGACCAAACTGACTTTGCCTAAGGTGTATGTATCACATGTGCTTCGTTGTGGGGCAGGACTGAAGTCCTAGAAACTCTCAGGAGTCAAGCTGCCCAACACGGTCACACGATCCAAGGACTCTCTGAGCTCAAAGTTGCTTAACTTCTTTGAGTGGCAGGGCAAACTTGGTTTTCACATTTCTGCCACACTGAAGAGTCTCCCTGTACTACTGGTAATAGTAGGGAAACTCCAATATTTTATTATTTGGATATTTTAATACTTTTATTAGGGTGTGTCCCATCTGGGAATCGAATCCACACTCTCAGAGTCAGGCACCTAATCCGAAGCACACAAAGTCAGCCATTTAACCCACTCAGCCACTGAAGCTTCAACACATGGTTGTTGGACAAGTGGTAGTCTTGATCACATACTTTGTGTACTCTCTGACAAGTGTAAACTGGCAAGGATCCCACAGCAGAAAGCTATTAAAACACAATGCCATTTAGAAAGTGGTCAGATGTAACTCATGTTATATATACAATTACACTTTTTCAGTAAAGTACCGACAAAGGCACATATGTTACCATATAATGCTAAATGATGTTGGGATGGTACGAGCACTGTTCATAAGGGTGTCACTGTACGAAACACCCGTAACCCTACACACCTGTAGAAGAGAAACTCACGTGAGATCATTGGTAGGAAAGGTGTGAGATTAAGTTCCAGGTTAGTGCCTGGCTAGTCCATGGTATTGAATAAAGGTCAGCTTATCGTGGACTTCTTTCATGAATTGTAATGATTGAAAAGTTACTTGTCCGTCAAACTCACTTACACCTCTGTCAACAGTTTATGAGACTGCCTTCCTGTAGCCTACAAGCAATTCTAGCACGACAATGTGTGATACTCGATTCTGATTGGCTCAGAGCTCATCAAAACCGTACTTAAATGACAGTTTAAGGACCGCTAATTACAGTGACAGATTCACCGCGTATGAATACAACAAACTCGTTGACCCTATTGTTTGTAAACAAACATGTCAGACATCGGCAATTTCTATCTCGGCAGCATCTTTGGTGTTTTTGAAGTAAAAAGCGAATGGTTTGAAGAAGAATTTCTTGATTTCCTAATCGCAGTGAAGAAACTACGAAGCTGGAAAATCCGTCAGCAGCGCAAAAGCGTCAGTGTATTCAAAGCGGGTCCAGATCTACGTGTGTTGACATCGACAACACACGTCGGCCCACACATCCTAACCTGACCGCTTCCGTCCCGGCCGTAATGCCCAGTCCTTCCACTTCCACTGTCCATGTATCCCACATAAAACGTGGCATGTCAGGTCTTTTCCAAATTGGGAATAGTAGGGTGGTTATCAACAATTATTTCCGTGAATAAAGTTAGCGGTGACTAAACTTAGCGAGTTCACGGCTTGCATTTGGGCGAGTCGATTGTCATACAGAAGGGGAGATCAATAATTCGCTTGAGAAAAATCAAATAATTGTACTTGCTCACAGTATAAACTGTATTTTTTTTATTTATGTATGCTACTTGTTACAAGCATACTGGTTCCTGAAATATAGCATTCATGTTGTTGAAAATGTCTTATTTTGTTCATCACACAACCTGTCCCTCAACGGGACGATTCCAAGCGATTTCCAGGAAAAAGGCCCTTTGCGCCTTGTGTTCTTGCGCGCCAAACAGTTCAGTTATAAAACGCTTATCAGTCATGCTAGAATGAAGATAAAGCTACTCTGTTTTCAACTTTGCGGTCCTTTATTGTTGATTTAAGACTGCTAAATGTTCGGTTTTTAAATTATATTTAGCGGTCTAAAATCAGCGATAAAGGACCGCAAAATTGAAAACAGAGTAGCTTTATCTTCTAAGTGTAAAACACTTGTCTGACCACACAACTTACCACAGTGAGGACTCTCCATTTCATACAACATCCATTCATTGGCGTGGAAGGGGTTGTGGAACCACATGGAGTGGTCAAGCGAGGTGGTGTTGAACGAGGCCTTTTTGTCCGCTGACATCAGGGCGACGTCTAACAACATGAGGTCCGACATGTAGGCGGCAGCACACTTGTGCATGTTGACGTTGTCACCTGGAGCAAAGACATCTCACTGTCTGAAATATTCACAACAATAACACAAGGAACAGTATTAGTGTTTCTGCTGACTAAATTATTTATCGGACACTGTGTCTCTGTGTCTGGCAACCTAAAATTTTACTGGTCATGAATGAAATTTGCCCGTCATATCCTATTACCATGCTGTAAGAACTCATTTTAAAGTTATATTTAGCTTGGGTATTTCTGAAACATAACATTTCAAGGTATTTGTGTAACAATAACACTGTTGTAATAAATAAAGAAGGAACTCTATCATACTTGCGTATTTGTCTCTAAATATGTACTTTATCATGTTTAAGATAATACTGTTTTGAAAAAAAGTTGTGTATCGTTCTGTATCGATACACCAGTCGACGATACGGTAGCTGTATCAAAATTAAATGTATCGCGATGTATCGTTGCATCGGTGAATCGTCCCAGCCCTATTAGACGATCATCTTGTCTATCCTTAGCCTCACATACAGACGTTCCTGTGAGGAGCATAGACGATCATCTTGTCTATCCTAAGCCTCACATACAGACATTCCTGTGAGGAGCATAGATGATCATCTTGTCTATCCTAAGCCTCACATACAGACGTTCCTGTGAGGAGCATAGACGATCATCTTGTCTATCCTAAGCCTCACATACAGACGTTCCTGTGAGGAGCATAGACGATCATCTTGTCTATCCTAAGCCTCACATACAGACGTTCCTGTGAGGAGCATAGATGATCATCTTGTCTATCCTAAGCCTCACATACAGACATTCCTGTGAGGAGCATAGACGATCATCTTGTCTATCCTAAGCCTCACACACAGACGTTCCTGTGAGGAGCATAGACGATCATCTTGTCTATCCTAAGCCTCACATACAGACCTTTCTGTTAGAGAGCATAGATGATCATCTTGTCTATCCTAAGCCTCACATACAGACGTTCCTGTGAGGAGCATAGATGATCATCTTGTCTATCCTTAGCCTCACATACAGACATTCCTGTGAGGAGCATAGACGATCATCTTGTCTATCCTAAGCCTCACATACAGACGTTCCTGTGAGGAGCATAGACGATCATCTTGTCTATCCTAAGCCTCACATACAGACGTTCCTGTGAGGAGCATAGACGATCATCTTGTCTATCCTAAGCCTCACATACAGACGTTCCTGTGAGGAGCATAGACGATCATAGAAGATTATAGAAGATATTTCACTGAGGAGAATGGATGATACAGAGTTAGAGTATGGACAGTAGTCTGTCCTCACCTATATGTCCGCATGCTCGGATCCAGATTTGTCTGCGCGGAGCCTGGTTCCTGTTCCTAATGAGGTGCATCGGGTCGACGGGGCGGAACTCCATACTCATTGGCTCATCAATGAACATACCCAGCATTGCTTTCCTCTTTTCAGGCAGCTTTTCGCTTCTGAAAAAGAACAAAAGGGACAGACTTCACAACACTTGAAAACATGACATCCCATCCCTACTAATAGTGCAAGTGGCACAGCCATGACAAAAACTAACCCTCAGTTTGTACAAATGTCACTGTTGGAGATGGGGAGAGCTTTGTTGTCATAACCTTTCAATCTTTGGGTAGAATACACTTACAATGTAGGTATTGTCATTAGAATTGCTACTGGTGTCCTCCGCCGTGATATTGCTTGAATATTGCTAAAAGCGGTGTAATACTGAGCTGCTTCACTCACTCACTTACTCTAGTGCTATCTTCGCCAGCTCCTGGGTGTTGAGGAGGTTGTCAGGTCCTACTGTCTCTGGCATCTTGCACTGATGTCGGTAAGGGTCACTTTCTTCCTTCTTGAAGGATGCCTGCATTGTCAGCACTGCCTTCCCCCTCTGGACTGCCTTCACCGTGCGGCTACAGTACGTCTTCCCGTCCCGTGTACGGTCCACATGATACAGGACAGGGCGTTCACTAGAACCTACAGCAAGAAAATACCATAACATCCAGTTTCATGTATAGTTCAAACATAGCAATACTTGATTAAATCTATGAGTTAGTGAGTGAGTTAATATTTAACGTCACATCGGCAATATCTCAGCCATATTGTGACGAAAACAATTTCTATAATACAAAAATGAAAACAGTGTGAAGAGTTAAACCTGTCAACCATGGACAGTAAAAATACTAGAGAATCACAGATGTGAATATAAAACTAGCGAGCAAAGGTAAAAAATTCCAATTAAAGAAGACAATACAGTATAAACCACGGGCTATAGATCGCCAACAACTGAAGGTATATCACCATACTGAGAACCATGGGGACTTACATTACTTTTGCTACCTGCATGGACCCTAGCTGGATTTACACCATCCCTTCAGCCGCTGGCGATTGGAGGAAAATTTAGCCAACAGTTAAAATAACAAAAATACTATGTTTAAAATGTGGTAAATTTATATTTTACTTTGAAAGTTTTGGGACTTACGTATCCTCTCAGGAGGCGATTAAATCTATGAATACACAATGCCATTTGGAAAGTGGTCAAATGTTACAAGTTATATTTGGGATCCCACTTTCTTAGTAAAGTACAGATTCTAGTACTTCTGTTGGGTTGAGTCCCATCCGGGAATCAAACCCACACCCTCAGAGTCAGGCACCTACTTGCCAGCACACAAAGTCACCCACCTGATCCGCTCAGCCACTGCCTAACTCTGCATTAGGCTAACGCTGAGTCTCTGAAGACATACAAGTTTGATTTGAAAAGGAGGAACCCCCTGTGACAATGGAGATTCAAAACCTGAGGTAATCTAGACTTGCTTCATTCTTGGTTTTAGCATTGCAGAGACGGTTGGACCCATGAAGGTCCAGGTTAGAATATTGATTTTCAATAACCCATGCGTGTCGAAAGAGGCGACTAACGGGATCGAGTGGTCAGGTTTGCTGGCTTGGTTGACACATGACATCGGTTTCCAATTACGCAGATCGATGCTCATACTGTTGATCACAGACTCGATTATTTACACATAGCTGGAATATTGCTGAGTGCGGCGTAAAAATAAACTCACTCACTCACTCACGCAGAGAGGGTTGGGCTGATGGGAAAATAATGCGGTTCAGGTACAGACTACGTATGCATGTCACAATGTGTAACTTGTGACACCTACAGCTGGTACCTGGGCAAGGTTGAAAAAGTGATCCACAGTCCACTTTCACAACCAGCATAGGTTACTGAGAACATACTCAACACAGTATTTACCTCCTTGTAGGAAGTAGCAATGTAGACTGTGTACAAACTGGGACTCCGGAACTGTTTGAGCAGCAGCTACCAATGCTTGACCAATCAGCTGACCACCAAACACTGACCTAAAATACTTGGGATGCCATAGATACGTGCTCCTGTCCAAAACAACAAGGAATCATTACACATCATGACAATGCAACAATTAAACCAAAAATAGACTTAAATAGGCAATGGGGTATCCTATTATCCTGATTATAGCTTCGCTCATCACACAGAAATACTGGGTTCAACTCCCCTTATGGGTACAATGTGTGAAGTCCATTTCTGGTGTCCCCAGCTGTGATACTGCTGGATTATCACTTAAAGCAGTGTAAAACTTTCCTCACTCATAGACTTATCACTTAGTAGGTTGGGTGCTCCCCGGCTCTAAGCAGTTTTCCAGCAATGTCACAACAGGGGTTACCAGGGATTTCACACATTGTACCCAAGTGGGGAATCAAACTTTGTATGTGACAAGCGAAAAATTTAACCACAAAGCTTACCCACTGCCCACTTATGATTCAGTATGTGCCATAACAGGGCTGAAACTTAGTCTCTTTTGAGATGAAACAAATAAATAAAGAAAGCCCACACAAGAAAGAAATGTGGAAAGAATTTCCTCAGCTTCTGAAATGAAGAAAGAAGGGCTCCTTTTCATTATATATTTTTTTTAAAAAATAAATGAACTTAAATAAGTAAAATATGTTAATTTAGAACTAGTTGTTAGTCTGGCTGAAACTGTACTTTTGAATAAATAAATAAATAAATAAATAAATAAATAAATAAATAAATAAATAAATAAATAAATAAATAAAATAATTAAATAAATAAATAAATAAATAATAAACATCAATGGTAAGTTGGGTTAAAACATTGAGTTAAAAATCTCAACAGTAACTTCAGATTTAATACCTGAAAATGTCATGATACAACCAACAAAACATGGCATGATGAGAGAGCACTTTAACAAGTAAGGTCTTGGTAAGGTAACACTATGCTCCCTGCTTTATTGAACAATAGTTTATGTGGATTTGCCATCTTGACTATTTATACAAATAACAGAACCATGTAATGAAAGATATGTCAGGTGACCAGGGTGGGATGTGCATAGTATGTGGGGAGGGGGTGGTGGGTGGTGGTGGTGGGTTGTTTAACATTTTGTACACCTTGGTATTACCCTCATGACAATATACTGGTATTGTAGTGATAAGGGTTTGGTGTTGTACACATCATAAACTGTTTGAGAGGCATTCTAGCAGTTGCAAGTAGTAAGGTGAGGTGAGGTGAAATTGGGTTTTACGTTGTGCTTGAGAATATTTTGCTCATATGACGACTGCAAGTAATAGGAATGACAAGTCTTTATGGTTGATCAATCTCTTTATTGCATAATTGCGACGTTTCGGTATAGATACTTATACTGTTTCAGAGCTCCAGATAAGATTTAGCTCATGTGGGTACTGTACCCACTGTATTTTTTTTTGGAGTGGGTATTATGAATGTTGAGTGGGTATTTCAATTTCCGTTCCGTGCTTTCAAATATGTGCGTATTTCAGTCATTTTACTCACCTAAGTATTATGTTATTGAGTAAGTTTACTAAGCAGGTATGTTCTGCCTTATGTCATACCTAATCAAAACCAACTTAAATATAATGGAAATCACTCATCCTATACTGACAGTACAACACTTGCCCTATACTAACATTAATACAACTTGATCATGTTGATAGCAATTGATGTCATTTTCTTTACGAAGCGATTTTTATAAATATATTCCGTACGCATTTGTTTTAAACTTTTTGCGTATCTAACATTTTAAATGCGTAATTGGTACTCAACAATTATTTTTCAATGCATAAATGGGAATTTTCTATGTGCATTTTACCCAAATACGCAGCTTATCTGGGCCTCTGCTTTGTCGCAATTATACAATAAAGAAGCTGATCACCCATAAAGACTTGTCATTCACATTTGTCATGCATTGTATTGTGATCTGTGAACCTCATCATACAGACATGCTATGATTTTCTACTTTGTTATGATGATTGGGCATTATATTGCAAGAGTGAGTGAGTGAGTGAGTATGGTTTTATGCAGCATTTTTTAGCAATATTCCAGCAATATAACGGCAGGGGACACCAATACTGCAAGAAGAACCGAACACTAAGATTGCTGCATTGATTCACAGACCATAATGTAGACTATGTATAGACTGAACAGGTGCGTTGGGTTAGCCAAGAGGTTAACACGTTCGCTCGTCACGCAGAAGACCCGGTTCGATTCCCCAAATGGGTACAGTGTGAAGTCCATTTCTGGTGTCCACAGCTGGATATTGCTGGAATATTGCTGACAGCGGCGTAAAATTAATCTCACTCATCCACTCACTATAGTGTGAGCCTATCTTGATGTAGGGTTCTGTATTTCAGTGTAGGAACCCGGGGGGATCGGGGACTCTCGGCTACAGGTCTCATCCGAAGATGTCATTCGATAAAATGTAAACACACGTATCACATCGTAACAGCTGTGTAACAATCATAAACAAACCTGTATATGTTTTCGTCAATCTTGTCCAAAATTCAGAAATGATTTCTGCAAGAAATCGTCTAAGTCGGGTTCAGAATTCTCCATTCTGTATCAAGGGCAGGTAACTCTAATTCACAGACACAACATTGCTAGTAGAGAACCCGTCCCAGTTTGTCACAAGGTGAGGTCAGGGGTCAGGAAAGGTGTACACAACTCAGCGTATTTGGCCGGGGAAGGCATATCAGTTTGTTTTCGAGAATGAACTTGCAAGTTTGCGTGTACTGTGTAGATGTGTGAGTTTGTAGATAAAGTGCAAGCGGTGCTGAAAAGGTCGTTGTCGCCACGGGTACTATGTATACAGACAGATATGTGTACCCCAGACCGTTTCCGTTTCCTTGATCGGAACCGTCAAATTATTGTATTAGATGCTTTTGAATGCGTTATATAAGCAGGACCGGACACAGCGTTTTGAGAAGGGGGCTTTTCAGAAAGGGAGTGGGGGTGCACACTTAATTTCCACCCGAGTTTTAATTGTCATTTAACAACCCTTCTGGACAAAGGGGGGGTTGGACTGGGTGCCCACCCCCTGGATCCCTTTATGAACCATACACGCTATCGAATATTTTGCGATGCCAAATGATCAACATAGGACAGACAAAATCCCATTTTACATGTTATTGCTACCCTTTTTCACCAGTTTTAATTAGCATGTTTTCATGACAGAAGTCAATAAGGTAAGTCGATTAGCATGTTTTCGTAACAGAGGCCAGTGGCTGCATTGATATATTGTATAGATTTATCTGTGATGATGACAGTTTTTATCAGTTCAAGAAAAAATGCATGAGAATGTCGCGGGCCCATGAAGATGTTGACAACACAGGCCCTCGTGTCTTTGCGAAGATTAAAGATTAAAAAAATAATTTGAGATGACCCCCGACTCGAAATGCCTGTGAAGCATTTCGAGTCGGGGGTCATCTCAAAAAATTATTTTCTTAATCATTAATCTTCGCAAAGACACGAGGGCCTGTGGTTGACAAAGAAGAATCCGTTCTTGTTACATATCAGTCACACATCAATTAAGATGTACAAAGATGCTGATGTACTAGAATGATGCTTTAGATGATTACATGTACCATAAAAATATACCAGTATGATGAATTATGTTATGAGACTGCGTTGAACCATGTTATTAGTGCATATGATCAATAGCACTATTTAGGAGGAAAAATATAAATATCTATTTCAAAATAAATTGCATGCCACTTTTCACACTGTTGGGATTTTGTCCGCAATGTGCAGACATTTTGTCCTAGGTGATATTGTCTTGTGGGATTTTGGCCGGGTGGGATTTTGTCCTACCCTCGACAACTACATACGGTTTCGGTTTTGCGTTGCGGAATATGGACTCGTCCGTCGTTTCCGGTACCGGGTACATTTCTATAGTTTGACTTTGTTAAGGGTACATTTCTGTATCCAGGAACTTACCTGGGACCCGTACATATCTGTAGTACCTGTGTCGACAACGACCCCTTCAACGTAAGTGATACAGTGATGGACAAGTATATTCATGCGAAGAGAAGATTACAACGCTGCTGTCATTAAGTTTGGTTTTTAACCTTACTGCAGTAGTACTATTCCAGCAATATGGCGGCGGTCTGTATATATTCGAGTCTGGACCAAACAATCCAGTGAGCAACAGCATGAGCATCGTTGTATACATCTGGGATACGATGACATGTGTCAACCAAATCAGCGAGCCTTGCCACTTGTAGATCCCGTTAGTCTCAGTTTCCGTGAGTCAAGCATGGTCCAATACCATTGTGACAGACGTATTAGCATTGTGACGTCATAACTAAACTATTATGACGTCATACGTCTAGTGGTATTACACTACAATATTGCAGTATCTTCCATGGTCGAGTGATAAATAGAGAATACTACACGAGGTCTCATTACATACGAATTATACGAAACTGGTGACCTTCCTATGTTATCTGACCTCGCTTTCGATAACATAGGAAGGACACACGTTTCGTATAATTCGTATGTAATGAGACCGAGTGTGGTATTTTATTTATTACCCACGTCTTACATGCATTTAAATTGACAAAATAGCGTATTTTTGTTATGTTTTTGGTTTCAAACCGAAACCGGTTTCATAAAGAGGTTGTGGAAGAGTTTTGTACTGTAGTACAATATTTGCATGACGTCACACTAATGACGTCACTGCCATGGTAACCGACGTCACGTTGCATGTCAGTTGTCATCGCCTCGTACAGCCTCCTACAGTAAACTACTCCGTTGCACCTCGTTTCTTGGTTTCCAGTTGCTTCATTCGGCTAACATCACTGGTGGAAACATTGCGTTTATGTTTTTCGACAGATATAATGTCTCAGTTCAACTCACAATTAAACAGCGACAAGGCAACGTTCGCAATGTTTACATTCCCACAATGCATTTAAGTTGTAGAATGAATGAATTCACGTGTTTGTTATGAATGAAAAAATAGTTACGTCAGAATGTGACCTAATTGAGAGGTCATCGGTTATCCAATCAAATCGTTAGAATTTCAGGTCAAGTCGTTACGACACAGGTCAACGCGATACGACACTCGTGTGACGTACGAGATTAATATGCAACTACCCATACGTTGACCACGTGGGTAATAAAAGAGGATACTAAACGACCTTCCGTGCAATACCATTTTTATTAAACGAGTTAATGATTTGGTATCAAACGAGCGAAAGCGAGCTTGATACTAAATCTTTCACGAGTTTAATAAAAATGGTATTTCACGGAAGCGAGTTTAGTATTCTGTTTATTACTCTCCAACATAAACTGATAGAAACTGCCTACAGTGTGATGACTCTCATATCAATTTTCCGCGAGTCAAGCAAGGTCTGATACCATTGCGACAGAGGCTTTAGCATGGTAACGTCATAACTATAACCATTTTGACGTCATATGTCTAACGGTATTACTATTAGTTACACGTGTTTTGAAAGGGTGTACGGGACTGTAAGACCCTTGTAAATTGAGCATTTACAAGGGTCTTACAGTACACCCTTTCAAAACACCGTGTGGCGAATTTATTACCCTTAAGATCTCTTTATTTAGCTTATCTTTAAACAACAACATTCAATCATCGGCAGAATTGGACGCAAAACGTTTCGCCATGAGTTTTCCTGAACTGTCATAAAGGGAGATAACTTGGGATGGCTTAGTTTAAGATAACAATTATCGAATTTGAGGTTTCGTTAAACGACAAGTACAATACAGACACAATTTATTTTTTGGATATATTTATTGACACAAACAAATAAGAAATTATGAATTTTTTTTTACTCTGTTTATACTCATAATTGTATACACCACCTCTAAAATTTCGAAGCGATCAGCCGTTTGGCAGCCACATTCCATCCAAGGTCAAGGTCATTCGTACAACCCCGCGTAGTGTGTCACGTGACAGATCATTCGTGTTATATTCTGGGACGAGCCGAATAGCGACTCGTGTCCCTCTGGAAGGATTTCATATTGGCGCATGAACATCAGAACTACTATAAACAGCAAAAGATAACTCTATTCCTGATTCATTCTAATGGTTGGGCACAAATAGGCCTCTTATTGGCCCACGTCGCCTTGTATAAAACCAACCAACATTCTAATGGTACTTACCATCACCGAAGCACTCGTACATTGTATTGCTGTTTTTGGTTTTGCTTATTTATTTTAAAGAATTAAACCTCCTTGGTACAACTAAAAGAAAGAGAAAAACATATCTGTTAAAGACATGTTCTGACGTAATTATTACCAGATGTTCACCTTATATTTCCAATTATATTTCTAAATAGGGGTTAATAGTCACAAATGGGATTTGTTTGATTGAATATGTAAATAAAATTTATAAAAAACACCCAGCCACATTAAATTGCAAAGCAGAAACTCAAATATGACTTTAAAATATTTCTCAGACTGAACATTCGTGTGACCTTGCTGTCATACCCCAAGTGGAATTTTAAATGAATTCGCTGAAAAATATATACTACCCATCAAAAGTTTAGACTCACTTAAAGCACTCACTATATGTTATGTATATGTATGTGGTTACATCGAAGATGAATTTCTCCACCAACTTGGGGGAACCAACTGAAAACCTTATGCAGATGAATTGCACAAGGATGATGCTTCAAATTGCGAAAGGCATGAGCAAATGTCGTGCATGTGAACAGATGCGTTTTGGTGTAAAGTTTTGTTAAGAATTCGCCAATTTTCACAGATTTTAATCATTTACTGAACTCATGACAATAATCTTTTCAATGTTACGAATATGTTTTACAATACACCAGTTCATAACTAAACAGTACCTTTAAACAGTATGGAATATTTTGCAAAAAGCTAGTTTAGAACAGTGGACAAGTAAGTGGCTACATTTACACTAGTGAGTCTAAACTTTTGATGGGTAGTATATATGACCAAAAATAAGTCAGGCTAAAATATTCCCAGAGATGTGAAATATATGCCCAGTGTTAAAGATTAAAGTTGATTAGTTACATACAGATATAATATTATTGTTTTGAAACTCGTAGTGATTCATAATTACATTTCCTAAAACTGTTGTAAGCGCACGTTCAATCTCCACAACAAGCACGCAAGATCGCCAGAAATACACTCGGTTGGCCCCATGAGAGCCGTTATGTCAACAAACGCACGTGCGTGTATTTGAATCTCTCACCGTCAATCGCATGATTCTTATCAAACACTTCATATTAGACAGCACAATTCTGTCAGCTACGTTGTTAGCACCTTCAATGTGACGATATATATTTTTCATGATTTTTTAAACAAAACATAATGCCATAATAATAATAATAATAATAATGGATATTTTTAGCGCGCCATTTTCCACCCACTGATACATGCTCAAGGCGCTACATAAAAGCATACATACAATGCATACAGAGGATAAAATAGCAAAATAAATATACATTGAAATTGATGACAGAAAGATTGATTTTAGGGATAGGCTTTGGAAAAAAAGAAAGTCTTCAACTTAATTTTGAAAGTTTCCAATGTGCATGACTGCTTTATGTGGAGAGGGAGAGAATTCCACAGAGTAGGACCAGCGTACTGGAAAGACCTCTTGCCAAAAGAAGAAAGGAGAACTTTGGGGACGGAGAGAAGACATTGGTCTTGAGATCTGAGAGTTCTGGTAGGGGAGTACACAGTGAGAAGTTCAGAGAGATATGAAGGAGCTTGATTATGCAAACATTTATACACAATGCAAAGAAGTTTGAAGTCAATCCTGAACTTGATTGGAAGCCAGTGTAATGATGAGAGTACAGGGGTGATATGGTCTCGTTTAGTGGTAAGGGATATAATACGTGCTGCTGTATTTTGGACTTTTTGGAGTTTATTGAGATGTCCGTTGGTGAGTCCGTATAGAAGGCTATTACAGTAATCCAATCTGGATGTTACAAGGCATCTCACAAGAGTGTGGGCACTTTCCATTGTGATGTGCTTCCTAATCGTCCCAATGAGTCTGAGGTGGTAATAGCAGGTATGACACAACTTATCCACATGCGAATCTAGAGACAGGCCCGAATCAATATAAGCACCAAGATCTTTTATCAAAGCTGACGGTGTGATGTTAGCTGAACCAATCTTCACATTATCGATGTTAAATTTCTCCAAGCTCTTTGGTTTCCCAACAAGGAGAACCTCTGTTTTAGTGTCATTCAGTTTTAGTTTTCTGCCCGTCATCCAGACGATTTAGGTAGTCGGGATTATTTTTACCAAAGCACTGCAACCATTACGCGCGTTCTGATTGGTTTGTCGTATTTTCTCACATAACAAGCATCGAGACGGGGACGAGTCTTCTTGGAGGTTACGGAAAGAGGCGAGTGGTGACGAATGATGACAGATTTGACGGGGTGTACGGGTCGCACACCCTGGCAAATCTTCCTACATGGTTTGGTATGCTTTGGCTATTGACCAATCAGACTTCGACAAATTTATCTTGAGGGTAATAAACTAGTGTATTATTATTATGCTGACGGGAGTATGATCTTTATCCATTGCCTCCCGACATACAGAGTGACCAAGACCAAGATATTAGGGTTAGAATTGGTCTTCAGTAACCCATGCCTGTTGTAAGAGGCGACTAACGGGATAGAGTGGTCAGGCTCTCTGACTTGGTTGACACACGTCATCGTATTCAATTTGCGTTGGTCGATGCCCATGCTGTTGATCACTGGATTGTCTGGCCCAGATTCGATTATTTATGGTGCGGTCCCAGTGGCGACCTCGGAAGCTCGACCGACTCGACCTCACAAACTACTCGACCTGTCTCGACCTCACAACGACCTCATAACGACCTCGTAAAGACCTTTACGACCTTAGTTCGGTTTTAGTTCGACTTCACTCGACCTATCTCGACTCAGGTCGGCCAAGTTGAGAAGACCTATACTCGACCAGCTAGACCTGTATATCGAGCTAATTTCGAATTTATTTCGTCCAAAGTCGACCGGCCCAACCTCTACGCGACCTGTGTTCAACCGCAGCGACTGGTTCTCGACGGAAATTCCCTTTTTCTGCCGAGTAGACCCTTGGTTTCCAAACTGTATAAATTACAGGGTGCATTTTCAATAGGTACCCATTCAATTAGAGGACTGCAAAGTAGTAACATCACCTTCAGGAACCTTCACGTAAATCTGGTGAGCCCCGTGAAGCGAAGACTGCTTGCCATTTGGGTGCAGATAGCCTGGCACCTGCTTGAACTGATGGATGACCTTGAGAATGCCAACCCTCCTCCAACGCCAAAGTTCGAGCCGTAAGCACATCAATCCCATCCATGACGCCTTCAAAGCTGAGTATCGGTCAGATGAGTGGGATCAGAGCAGATGGAATACTGTAGCCCGTGCTTTCAAGGAAAGGTGGCAATTTCCATATTGCACCGGTGCGTTTGATAGCAATCATACGCATCAAGAAGCCTCCCAAAAGCGGGTCCCTCTTCTACTACTGCAATAACTTCTTCTCTATCGTCTTGCTGGCACTCGCGGATGCCGACTACAAGTTCCCGTGGGTCAACGTCGGGGCCAAGGTATCAGTATCAGACGCTGATGGTCTTCAACCATTCACAAGATCGGATGGAGGGCGATGACCTTGCATTCCCCGTATGGTGTGCCATACTTCTTCATCAGCGACGATGCCTTCCCCCTCCACCCCTGGATGATGAAGGACCCCGATCAGCAGATCCTCAACTGCAGGTAAGTATTCTTTTCCATAAATACCTAAATCAAATTGTAACTTAGTATCTTTGGATGTATGAAATATTATATCAAAGTTTTTGAAATTTGAATGCATTTGACTTAAAAATGTTTAATTTGTGACTTTAGCAGACTGTCTCGGGCCGGACGAGTGGTGGAAAATACCTTCGGGATTCTGGCTATGAGATTCCAGATCCTCCTGGGCTCCCTAAATAGCACTGCAGGCAGAGCTGAACAGATAACCCTGGCCTGCGTCACTTTACACAACATGCTGAGAACGAGGAACCGGAACAGTCAGATGAACCTCATAGGCCAGGGGAATGAGGACTGTTCACTCACCCAAGGCGAATGGCGCTCATGCACACAGCTGTTTGATGGGGATAACCGGGGTGCGAGGAACGTTACCCCACTAGATGACGCATACCAAAGAAACTATTTGTAGGACTATTTCATGCGCCCAGGAGCTGTTCATTGGCAGAAGATGATATCCAAATGACTTTAAAGCGTACTATATTATTTAGGACTACTTCATTTACAAAGGAACTCTTGTTTGTTTTTTATTTACACTATTTACAATTGGTAAATGCGAAAAAAAACACAATGAAAACTAACTATATACATGATGAACAAAACAAACTTTATGACAATCGTACGAGGTGTATTTACATTTACACTTAGCAATGGATGGAAAATACAAAAAAAATATCAGATGAAAAAAAAAGCTTTTAAATCTTTAATTGGAAACTCATTTAAATAATCTGAAGGTAACATTTCACATCAGTTTAAAGTGCTCATGACAATATATGAGTATCAAGTTCTACTTCTCAGTTTCACTGTCCTTGCTGTCCTGAACATGTGACTGATCCTCTGAGGTGTGTGTAGGGTCCAAGAGACCGCTTGGCACGTACAGAGATATACCTGCTGCAGCACTTGAGTCAAAGCTGGGGAAGATACCAGCCTCTTCCGCTGCTTTGCGGCGTGTTGGAGAGGGTGGTGTGCTCTGGGTGGCAGCAGGTTGGTGTGGAGATGATGTGCTACTACTGGCTGCCGTTTGGCTTTTATGAAGCAATTGGGAAGATGGCGACCATTTATGCGGTCGGCGCGGACTCGATTAGGTCGAGTTGAGGTCGAGATAGGTTGACTTCAGGTCGAGTCGGACGACTCCAGGTTGAGTCCAAGTCGAGTCCAGTTCGAGTTGGTCGACTCAAGGTCGAGTACAGATCGACTCTAAGACGAACACAAATCGGCATGTCAGGCCAGCTCGACCTTCAACTCGACCAACACGACCTAAATTCGACCTTTTTTCGACCTATTCTCAACCCCATCTCTGACCGGAGGTCGAGGAGGAAGTCGGGGGAAATTATTTGAAATGTCAAAAAAATTTCAAAAACTTAGTAGACCTGAATCGATCTGACTCGACCTGACTCGACCTAACTCGTTCTGAAACTCGACCAACTCGACCCCCAACTCGACCTTCAGGTCGAGAAGGTCGAGTAGCGTAAGGTCGGCACTGGGACCGCACCATTACACACCGCCGCCATATAGCTGGATTGCTGAGTGCGGCGTTAAACAACTACAACCAACCAACCAACCTACCAACCGACCAACCGACATACAGAGTGACCAGCGAACAACTGGTTTTGTATGTAAGACCTAAGGCCATATGGTTAAACCATCCCCACCCAGAATATCAAATATATACGTTCCATCACTTCTCTTTTTACTTTACAGTTTATTTATTGTTAAAGTTTATATCGTTTTAGTCACGATATGGCTGAAATATTGCCGATGTGACTTAAAGTCTCACTCACTCACACACTCACTCTCTACTAGTGAGTGAGTGAGTGAGTTAAAAAAATTCGTCACATCTGCAATATTTCAGCCATACCGTGACGAGAAAAAATAATTTTATACATAGTAATTTATGGTAAATTGTAAAACCTGTCAACGAAGGACAGTAAAATAACTAGATTATTACAGATTCGAATTCAAAACTAGTAATTAAATCTAAAACAGTTTAACTATAGATGACAATACAAGGTAAAGGGCTATATATTGCCAACAACTGAAGGTAGATCACCATACTAGGGATCATGGGGACTTACAGTACATTTGCTTCCTGCATGGACCCTAGCTGGATTTACACCATCCCTTCAGCTATTAGCAATTTTAGATAATCTAGCAATAAATTAAACGAATATATATTCTACGATTAAAATGGTAGGAGGGTTTAAATTTACTTTGAATGTTTTGGGACTTACGTACCCTCTCAGGAGGACAATAATTTTACAGTACTTTCACCCCCTTTGAGGGTACAGCCACTGACAATTTAAGTTACTAATCTAAACTACATATCATTAAAATACATATATCTACAGAACATATTAATCAAAATTCATTAATTAATCATTTTCTTTTAAAAAACCAAGAATTAAATGAAAATGAACAGTATTAAAAAGATCCTTATCAGTTTTAAGATTGAAATATTTATCCCTTATGATGGAGAATTCAGCGTCACTTTCTACTATACACAACTTGGATATGCTTTTAGTTTATTACATCGTCTGCATTTCTTTATCGCACATACACCGATAGTTTCTGACATCAGCATTTGAAATGTACACCATAATCATTTGAAGATGACAACATGTCAGGTCGCTATGACCTTCATGACACATGTTTCAAAATAACATGGAAATCCCAGTCATAATTCAGTAATCACTTAAAATATCTACCAATAACGACCTGTTCCATTATCATATAAAAACTGGAGGGTGCCAAGCACCTGTTAGTTTTGAACTGGACAGGATGGGGTAAGTAGTAGTATGTTTCAATCTGTAAGACGGGAGGTGGGGTAGCCTAGTGGTTTAAGCGTTCGCTCGTCACGCCGAAGACCCGGGTTCGATTACCCACATGGGTACAATGTGTGGAGGCCCCGCCGTGATATTGCTGGAATAGTGCTAAAAGCGGCGTAAAACCACACTCACTCATTCAATCAATCTGTAAGTAGGGTTTATAAAAAAAGGATTGCTAGAAGCAGCTTCACGGTAATAGGTATGTGTTAAATGCGTTCGAATGGAAATATTTTTCATAATTCATTTCTTGTTATCACCACCCTTTGATTCATATACACATACGAAAGATGTATAGTTTGATACTGGGCTCTCTGTTGAGCTTTGTAGTGAAACTTTTTCTGGAAATTAGTTTGTCGGTTTTTTTATGTTAACAATATATGAGATATTTTCATGATTTCAGGAAAACAAGTTCGGTAAGTTATCATCATCATCATCATCCTCATCATCATCCTCAAAATATTTATATATAGCGCCATTTCCAGTCCAAAAGTGCTGCTCAGTAGCGCTCTCCGAACTCGAGAATGAAAAGTTAGACACTGTATGTTATCTTAAAAAGGTATGTCTTCAGTTTAGATTTGAAAATCTTCAGGTTTTTATAAAACATGTCTTTAAACTACAACAACATATTCCAGTAATATCGAAATAACAACACAGGGTGGACTTTGAATAACTGATTTTATCACATCTGACAAAACTGTTTGCGGTGACTGTCACTATTACACATTACATAATATTGATTGATCCTGCAATCCTAGAAATTGATATTTGTAATAATTTTGCTGTAAATTTTTTTTTCAATTTAAATGAGACTCAAAGAAAATGTTTCGTTTAGTATTGTACACGAGCCATGTCATTTAGTATCTTACTTATATAAGGCACAAAACTATGGAACAGTCCTAAGACCAGTCGTGGCAATGATAAAAAACCATTTGGTTTAAGATTAGATTTGGTGGGGGGTGTGATGGAAGAAGTTTAAACCAACACTGAGTTAACTTTTATAATGTCAAAAAAGCCGTGAGAGGCAACTTAGACTTTTAATATACAAGCAATGTTCGTTTCACCATGTCTTCCTACTTAACATTAAAACGGGTTTTGTCCACCATGTCCAGCACAAACCGTTCAGATTGACGTAAGGCCCATATCGGAATGTCAGAACCATCCATAGTTTGTCTATTTTTACCCGTGTATCTAAAATACGTCAGTATGGCGAACACATTCGTCACCACTCGCCCCTTTCCGTAACCTGCTATTCGGCTTGTCCAGGAATAAAACGAGTTGGTCACGATTGCTTCCATTCGTCACCACTCGCCCTTTCCGTAACCTCCGGCGTGTCCCGGAATAACACGAGTTGGTCACGAACGGGTCATCCTGACAGTCAGCAGAGTTATTGACCTTGCATTTTAATCGGCTGTGCTTGTTAACGTTCACTGAACTGCATTTGATAGACTTGTAGAATCGAGATACAATTGTCATATCATTGTTATCAGATTGACAGGTAGATTGTCACTTCAAGGCGGGCTGTATGACACGTGTTCTATTCCTGCTAGTACACAGAGGAAAACGCTCAGAGACTGGCCATTCCTTACATGTATCAACACTTTAATGGACATTCATACGTTTGTTGTAGAACGAAATGGTTACAAAACAGCCCGTGCCGAGAGCACGGAACACCCGACGCAGATCCTCTAAGAAGGGTTCCTGGGCAATTACGGTAAAAAACGTCTTGACCATAGTCAAGACGAAGACTAAAAAAAAATATACAAGGAACAGTCGGCCATGAAGGGGGTTCAACTGCAACAGAAGATGGAAACCCCAAGGAAACCGGTCTGGAAACCCTAAGAATTATAAATTCACAATTTCAGAAATGAACAGTTTTGAATGATATAATTAATTTTATGTGAATTGATTTTTAGTTAGCAAACATTTTTTCTCGAATTGTATTTAAAAAATGTGTAGAATAAACAAATGTAACTAGTCAGCTTGTCTTTTCTTTTCTCAAATAATCCCCTAATCAGCTTTATTGTTTGTTCAAGTGTCACACTTGACCTGCTCTTTCCTGTGTTTGTGATGGGCCCGACCGGTGGGACAGGATACACTCACCTTTTGTGGCATCATGTGTAACACAAGAACACAAGGCGCAAAGAATGGGTGTTTTTCTTCTCGCAGCAACACTATGCAAAGCAGGGCGAACAGTTATCACAGAGTCAGACACAGGCAACCAGGGGAAGGAGGTGAAGCCAGGCTGACACTGGGCCCGTCCCTCCTTGTCCCAGGCTTGCCTTTCTGCTGGTCTGTCCGCGCTTTGTCCCCTGTCTGCTCTCTCAGCTTCCCCTATCCTACCTGATTATAAAGGCAGATAAACGACTAACTGACTGACTGACTGACTGAGTTTAGTTTTACGCCGCTTTTAGCAATATTCCAGCAATATTCCAGCAATATCACGGCGGGGGACACCAGAAATGGGCTTAACACATTGTGCCCATGTGGGGAATCGAACCCGGGTCTTCGGCGTGACGAGCCAACGCTTTAACCACTAGGCTACCCCACCGCCCGATAAACGACTAACAATCTGTGTAGGTCTTCAGTGCTCATGGACATAATCTTAGTTTAGCTGGTCATATTTTGACGAGCTTGACATATCTGGTACATGTGTACACGACATATAGTCTTAGACATGAGTGACACATCGTTACACATACGAAACACATTTGAAACACATGCCTATATAACTTCGAATTCTTACATTCTGTGCTGTCGATTATTTGTATGATAATGGAAATGTTTTTTTTTGTTGCGCTAACCTTATATTCAAGATAGCTAACCAAAATTCAAGATAAACAACAAGGAGAGTTCTATGGATATACACCTTCTTTAATATGATATGAGGGACGTTTCGGTGTAGCTACTAACACCGTTATCAAGCAAATGATGTACAATACTAGATGCAAGGTATATTTATATACATAGTAAAGTGATGATGTTTACACAATTAACGAGGTAGATGTACAAGGTGGTGGATGTTTACACAAGAGGCCAATAGTTACACAAACATAGTAAGCTATGGGGGGATTAAGGGAGGAAGCCAGTGAAATGACAGACAGGAGAATAATAGGATTAAGATTGCTTGGTGATGAGTTGGTTGTAGGCACACACACACAGAGAGAGAGAGAGAGAGAGAGAGACACGGAGACACACACACACACACACACACACACACGGGGTGTCAGCCAAGATGGCGGACGCTATGTATACAATCAGCAGAACACTCTCAGAGAGGCTGTGAGCTGAACAGTCTACGAGGCCAGACCGATTTAACATCGTCCGAGGTCACTGGATTTCTGTCCAAGGCAACACCACAGCCCTAGCTCCCCCGGGAGCGCCGGCACATACTAGACATTACTCTTCACAACATTGTGACATCCTCGCTGAGAACCCTGCTGGGTCCATTTGCCGCAGACATTGCAGGCCCACCTATACAACCGAAGCTAGCCGATGCTATGAACAACATTGATGTTCAAGAGAAAAGTTGAGGGAAAAGCTACAAGTCTCCTCAAAGTTGTGAACTGCTCAAAGTTAGCAAAGTCAACCCAGAAACCTAGGATTAAATGAGATCACAGGACGGTCCAATGACCTCAGAGTTCAGAAACTGCAGAACCCTGTCATCTGAGCAACAGTGCCCGTGCTAAACATAGCAAGCGAAATTCTCAAGGTGAAGAATAAGGAGATGTCGGTTCAACAGTTAGACATTAAGTCTTTGGCATCAGTCTGTTTGCTCATGTGAAAACCGCCGTCGAGACAGACAGACAGACAGATAATTTATTAACGTCTCACTGCATGTACAATATAAAAAAATAGACAAAATAACAAATGACCAGTAAAAGCACATGCACCATTCCTTATGGAATTATGAGAGACTAAATCTAAAATATATACAAGCTACTAAAATCATAGAAAAACGTTTGCGCTAAAATAGAAAAAGAAATTTTCAATTTTTTAATGGGTTGTGATTGAATTGAATATACGATTACATGTAATTGATATTTATAATCTTAGATTGTATAATTTTTTTTATTGCAGCATATCTAAATATAGAAGTAGTGTTATCAAATAGATAAATGCAATATTGCATTGTGATTGTGACGCTGTTGTGATGACCATCAATCATTGTACAAAGTACAACAGAGCAATATATTTAAATGACACTTCCGTTATCGTGTTACTATACCAGTACATTATATTTGACATGTTTGCTGTAAATGCACAAGTATTTTGGTGTCTATATGGTTATAGCGATGAACGGTTGACATATTCTGCTCGAAGTAAAAGTAGAAACTTACAATTTAATCTCAATCAGATTAGATTCAAGCGGAACACACTAGTTTACATTCCAAAGTTATGTTCACAAGTTTGTGATATGACCAACATCAAGTTATCATGATATGATAATTTGTATTATAAAAAGCAGACTGAAATTAATTCTATCCTATTTTTTCAAGTCTAGTAAATGCTTGCCAAATGGTGGACATACTTGTCATTTTATCTACCTGAATGGATCAGTTTGCTCCGTAAATACTATGATATTTTCATAGTTGGCAATCTTCTAAAATTTTGTTCTACCCTTGAATAATTGCCTTTTCACAGTGAAAATACTTATCATCAGTTTATCTACTAATATGGAACATTTTGATTCATAAATGTTTGTAATTTTTCCATAGTTTTTCCGTTTTAAGCTTTGTGCTATCCATGAGTATTTGTTTGCGTTATTTTTACCGAGCGCGGTTACGTCGTGGAATTTATTGCCCGATGGAGCTTTTTAAGCTATTTCCCTGAATCAATTTAAAACCATGATAAACACAACAGAAACTCACAATTACTTTGATTTGAATTTTGGAACTAGATTTTGTTCAATCATTCATTGTCGCCTCAAGCTCGGCTGTAGTGATCTAAACGCAGACAGATATAATCGGCATATATCGGACACACCCAGGTGTTCATGTGGTTATTATAACGAAGACGTTATTCACTACCTTTTTACATGTCGGAATTATCAAAATTTAAGAACAACTGTGTATTTTTATATTCAAGGATACGATGTTAAATCTACTTTATACGGTCACGGCGCATTGAATAACTCAACTAATAGTGACATTCTTAACTCATTACACAGTTCATTTCTAAAAGTAACCGCTTCCAATGATTATCCCCTCAACATATATATTCAGTGTAAGACAAATTTTATATAACGTGATTTTCTGCGGCATAACCAACACCACAACGAACATATTTGTTACTCAATCATATATCTGTTATTGTATTATTCTTTTGTTGTCAAATTATTTCATTTATGTATCCAGCTATTTGAACAATGTACGGAAGCAGCCTTTCTATAAGCCACTAGGCTTGTTCGCCTATCCATGTTTCTGCTTTGGCGAAATAAAAATATGCTTAAACCAAATAGATAAATATAGAAGAAGTGTTATCAATGAGGAAGCCGCAGTAGTAGCTGCAAGAGTTGTATGAGCCCCGGGGAGTTGAGATTGATAATACGATGTGCCGTTGAGATTGATAATACGATGTGCCGTTGAGATTGATAATACGATGTGCCGTTGAGATTGACATCCAATGATCGAGGGAAAAAATACCAGCGCCTTGAGCATGTACTAGTTGCGTGGATATGTACGCTATATTAATATCCTATAATAATACCTCATGGTCAGCAAAACAAACGTTATAACAACTACAATATTATTGAAAGAAGTGGAAGAAAAATGCAAAGGAATGTGATCGTGGTACAGAAAATCATTCTTCGGAAGACCCGTGAAGATCCGGGGTAGAATAGGTCTTCAGCAACCCATTCTTGTCATAAAAGGCGACTATGCTTGTCGTAAAAGGCGACTAACGGGATCAGGTGGTCAGGCTCGCTGACTCTGACACATGTCATCGGTTCCCAATTGCGCCGATCGATGCTCATGCTGTTGATCACTGGATTGTCTGGTTCAGACTCGATTATTTACAGACCGCCGCCATATAACTGGAATATTGCTGAGTGCGGCGTAAAACTAAACTCACTCACTCATTCTTCGGAAACATTGACATTGATATTCAGATATCAGTATGCTAACTGAAATCATACAAAAACATGACATGAAACCCTTTTGACTTTCACGAAAAGTCGTGTCAATTTAAGCGTGAGTGAGTTTGGTTTTACGCCGCTTTTTGCAATATTCCAGCAATATCACGGCGGGGGACACCACAAATGGGCTTCACACATTGTGCCCATGTGGGGAATCAAACCGGGGTCTTCGGCGTGACGAGCGAGCGCTTTAACCACTAGGCTACCCCACCGCCCCTGTCAATATTAGGAGTAACGTACATGCCAAGGTGCTTTCTCAGAGTAGATATTTTAGAGAATATATATGCAGAGCTGAGAATACATATTATGAGCTTGGAAAATTATTTTAGGGGGAAAATATTCCATATGTGATCAGTTCAACCACCTAACCATATACCAGATGTCATCACATTTTGATTACATATGCTGAATAATGACCATTAACACAAGACATTGCACGCAATGCGACATTTACAATGTGAAACAACTACCTGACAGAGCGCATACTACAACCTCATACCACATTACCTTGCTTCTCGGTGGTATAGTGGCCAACCCAAAGGCGTTTCCACAAAAGGCATCAGTTCAATGGCTTTACTTCTGGTATGTGAAATCACGTCGCTGACAATTTTAAAACAGGACGTCCTCTGTCTCTAGCCTTCTTAATAAAACACAAGTTCAGCTGAATGATATCACTTGCGACAGTGCGGATATTGAACAAGCCACGGCTAGCTGAAAGTCAATGTCTAAGCGCCTTGGGTATGCTTCTTGGAGGAATAGGGGGGTTGGGTAGCGGTTCATTCTCAGGACGTGGACAGCCTGAAATTTTGCATTCGCAGGACGAGGACAGACGCACTTGTAAGGAA